AACCCCAATTCATGACTGAAGCCCTTTGACCCCCAAACCCCAAGGCCCTAAATCTGAACATCCCTGAACCCCACAACCTAAACCCCAAAACCTAAACCCCAAAACCCAAACATCCTAACCAAATCCCCAACCCTAAATCAACAAACCTAAACCGTCCTAAACCCCAAACCATAACCTAACCATCCCTCAGCCTCCCAAGCCTACACATCCCTTAGCCTCCCAAAACCCTAAACCCTAAACCCCAAACCCTAAACCCCAAACCCCAAACCCTAAACCCTAAACCCTAAACCCCACCCCCCCCCCCCTTTTTGGGCCGCCCGAGGGGCTCCGCGAGCGCCTGGCGCACCTGTGGGTCCAACACTGCCTTCTCCGAGGCACGGCGGGCGGCGCCCGCGAACTCCTTGAGTTGAGGGCTGAGGGTCGTAGGAGGGTTTAGGGTGTAGGGTTTAGGGTTTAGGGTTTGGGGTTTAGGGTTTTGGGTTTTGGGTTTAGGGTGCTCTTTGTTGGGGGTTTGGGGGGGGAGAGGTTGGGGGTTGGGGTTTGGGGTTTAGGGTTTGGGGTTTCGGGCTTAGGGGGTATACAGCGATGAGCAGGGGTCTGCCAATTTTCAGTTCGTGGGACTCGACAGCGCAGCAGGGCAGGGGTTTAGGCTTAAGAGGGGGCTGGGATAGGGTTTCGGGTTTAGGGTTTAGGGTTTAGGGCTTAGGGTTTAGGGTTTAGGGTTTGAGGGGCTCAAGCTGAAATCTGCTGGGCTTCGCAGGCTTTGGGGCCTTTGGGGGATTTCCGGTCTTCGCGGGATCGGCATGATGAAAAGTAGTCCACCCTAAACCCTAAACCCTAAACCCTAAACCCTAAACCCTAAACCCTAAACCCTAAACCCTAAACCCCAAATCCTAACCTCTAAACTCCAGGATGTCGGGGTCACGTTTTGAGATTTTTGAGTGTATTCCAACATTTATGCTTTGGTTTTGATCTTTCTCTTTCTGCAGGACTTCGGGGTCTTAAGGTCTGGGTCTAGGGCTTAGGGCTTAGGGTTCAGGGTTTAGGGTTCAGGGTTTAGGGTTTAGGGTTTAGGGTTTAGGGTTTAGGGTTTAGGGTTTAGGGTTTAGGGTTTAGGGTTTAGGGGGTGTGCGGGCCGAAACCCTGCCGTCAGCTCAGTGGCCTTGTACACTGCGAACGAGGACCTCAAGAACCTGAGCCGGGGATATTTTTGAAGCGGCGGGTTTAGGGTTTAGGGTTCAGGGTTCAGGGTTTAGGGTTTGGGGTTTGGGGTTTGGGGTTTGGGGTTTGGGGTTTGGGGTTTGGGGTTTGGGGTTTGGGGTTTGGGGTTTGGGGTTTGGGGTTTGGGGGTTGGGGTTGGGGTTTGGGGTTTGGGGTTTGGGGTTTGGGGGTTTGGGGTTTAGGGCCCCCCCCCCCCCCCGCCCCTTCAGATGTTTCAGGGCAACGGGACGCCACGTCGCTTCGCTCCCAGCTCCATGTGCGATGGCAGAGAAGACTCAACAGTTGGTGGAACGACGAAGAAGGCCTCTGGGCCCCAAACCTTAAACCCGAAACCCTAAACCCTAAACCCTAAACCCGAAACCCTAAACCCTAAGCCCCAGACTCCACACCCTCACGCCTTACACTACCGACACCCCCTGCAGCGCCACCGAGCAGCGGATCCTCACTTTGGCCGCAGGTGTCGGATAAGCAGGCCTGCTGGGAAGGTTTAGGGTTAGGGTTTAGGGTCTAGGGTCTAGGGTCTAGGGTGTAGGGTTTAGAGTTTAGGGGTTAGGATTTCAGGTCTAAGGTTTAGGGTTTAGGGTTTAGGGTTTAGGGTTTAGGGTTTAGGGTTTAGGGTTTAGGGTTTAGAGTTTAGGGTTCACCAGTCAGCAGCTTGTCAAGTGACGGAGAAATACCCACCCCCCCATTGGGTCCCCCAACATTCGGAAACAATATCACTTCACATCTCAAGCCAGCCTTGTCCTAAGGCCAGTGGCCCCTAAATCCTAAAGCCCCAGGCCAGTGGCCCCTTAACCCTAAAGCCCTGGGCCTGAGCCACAAAGAAATGTGCCTTAGCCACAAAATGGGCCTTAGCCACAGAAGAAAATGGGCCTTAGCCACAGAAGAAAATGGGCCTTAGCCACAGAAGAAAATGGTCCTTAGCCACGAAGAAATGGGCCTTAGCCACGAAGAAATGGGCCAAGGCAAGAGAGGCTTAGGGTTTAGGGCTTAGGATTTGGGGTTTAGGGTTTCGGGTTTAGGGCTCCCCTCTGCAGCCCGAAGCCACCCCCCAAAACGCCTCCGTCTGCAAGCACTTGTAGAGGGTTTTGGGGTTGGGTATTGGGGCTGGGGGTTTGGGGTTAGGGGTTAGGGGTTGGGGGTTTAGGGCTAAATCCTAGTCCCCCAAACTCCTCGGAGTTTGGGGGACTAGGGCTTGGCATGCCGGTCCGCCTTCTTCGAGGGGCGATGGCTCCCTCAACCCTCATCCCAGGCCCGCAAACTCTCAACGACAAAAACCCTCAACCCCTAAACCCTAAACCCTTAGAATCTGACCCTAAACCCTAAACCCTCATCCCTCTAACCCCCCCCCCCCTGCCCCCACAGCCTGCAGCTGGCGGTGATCACTGAACCCCCAAGACTTCAGGATCTCAACCTCCATTTGCCTTGTAAGGGTTTAGGGTTCAGGGTTCAGGGTTTAGGGTTTAGGGTTTAGGGTTTAGGGTTTAGGGTTTAGGGTTTAGGGTTTAGGGTTTAGGGTTTAGGGTTTCGGGTAGGATCTCAACCTTCAGATCTTGTGCGGGTTAGACGTGAAGTTTGGAGTCAGCGGGGTAGGGTTGAGGGAATTCAGGTTTTGGGAGTTTAGGGTTTAAGGTTTAGGGTTTAGGGTTGAGGCTGTTAAGGGTTGCGGGCGAATTAGGGTTTGGGAGCTTAGGGTTTAGAATTGACAGTTCAGGGTTGAGGCCCTCGCACGCCTAAGGCTTCCTGGGCACACTCCGCCCCTTGGATCCCCCTCTCCTACAAGACACCCCCGCACAATGCACCGTCTCATGCACCTTCTAACGCGGGACTCCAGAAAGTAGGGTTTAGGGCTGTTGCTTAACCCTGTAAAATTAAACCCTAAACCCGAAACCCTAAACCCTAAACCCTAAACCCGAAACCCTAAACCCTAGAACGGGCCCAGGAGAGCGGAGGCCGGAGTGAGGGTTTGCATGGCATTCACTTCGGACCGAGGACAAAAGAACCCCTAAACCCCAAGCCTAGACCCCGAAGCCTATCTGTGGTAAGTCAACGAAACGTCCAGATACACCAAAAAACTTTGGTGAATCGCTACCGTTTGAAACATATCTTCATAGTGCATTTGCTCAATATAGCCCCCTCTCCCCCCAACCCTCATCTCCAATTTATAGGGTTCTTAAGGGGGGGCGGGTTCTTACCTAGGGAACGGGGGCCTTAGGGAGTAGCAGGGAGTACTAGGGGATGTTGGGTCACATAGCCCCGGTTGCCCCAAAGCCCCCGGACTGGAACTACCTGGACCCAGCCTGGTTTAGGGTTAAGGGGTTTAGGGTTTAGGGTTTAGGGCTGAGGGTTGAGGGTTTAGGGTTTTTGGGTTTAGTGTTCCGGGTTCACGGTTCAGGGTTTAGGGCTTAGGGTTTAGGGGAAACCCAAAACACGCGCAAACCTTCAGCGCAAGCCCTCAAGGCTGAGAAACTCGAAGGTTTTAAGTTTTCGGGTTGGTTTAGGGGGTGGCGTGTAGGCGTTTAGGGGAGAAACAACCCCCCCCCCCTCCCTCCCGGAAAAAAAAAAAAAAAAAACATCAGACCAGTCTGCTTCGGATGTGGGGTCTGGGGCACCAAAACCCATCCCCAACAAAGAAACAAGCCCAACACCAACAAAAAAGCTAAAAGGCAAACACAAACCCACCCACCCACCCACCCACCCACCCACACACACACACACACACAGAGAAAAACACAAAAACTAATAAACATGAAAAATACAAACACATACTTCAAGCATAAAACAATGAAACCCTGAACCTGAGACACTCAGGCGTCTACACTGAAAACAATCAGGCGCCTACGCGGAAGTTCCTGAGGAACGGGGCCAAGCACCCACATCTCAGCGCAACCAAGCTGCCGAGGGCTGGCGCCTGGTCTCCCACACAAAGGCTTTAAGCTTTTCTTTGGGTTAAGGGCTGAAGGCTTCGGGGTCTCGGAGGGGTTGAGGAAGGGTTTGAGGGCAGGCTTAGGAAGGGGCTTCGCGCTTTAGAGGCGTAGGGCCCTGAAGTTTCGGGTGTTTAAGGGTTTAGGCTTTGGACTTGAGAGGGCTGAAGGAGGGTTTGGGGTTGAGGGTTGAGGGGCTCAGGGTTCAGGGTTCAGGGTTTAGGGTTTAGGGTTTAGGGTTTAGGGTTTGAGGAGCCCAGTCTGTGAGGCTTTCAGAGGGTTTAGGACTCTGGGCTGGCAGGGGTTGTTCCGAAAACGAGGAAGCTCACTCCGACGACCTCTCTGCTGAAAGACATGGATCCTGTGTGCCTGAACTGGTTGAAACTTAGACGGTGTCCCATGGTTGTCCTCCTTCTTTAGTGTCCAGAGTTTCGGCTCATGCACGTGGCCATCTTGGCAAACGTGGGGCAAAATGTGGGAGCAGACCCCCTGTGAAGATGGATCATATTCAGGAATCCATCACAAAAAGGATGAAGCCAGACTCAGAACCAGAAGTGTCAAATCGCTACTGGTAGCACTCCGACAACGTATAGGCAAAGCAACAGACAAACTAGTATTGGGTAATGGAATACTCCATTCAAAGACAATGTACGGCCAGTTCCAGAATGGTTTGCCTCTTGGCGGCTTACTCCGTGTCCACATGGGGCTGCAGGCGCTTGCGTGCGACTTCCATCACAGACTGGCGGCACGTGAGAACGATCCCCATGAACAAGTGGAACACAATCATTGCCATTGACATCCCAATGCCGAGCCACGCATACCATGCACCACCGAAGTAGACTACGTCAAGAAGGCCTATGAGGAGTTCGGGGGGGCATCCTCCACCACTCGACCCACATTCAGTGGCTCCCGGAAGCGGTGTAGATCTTCGACCTCATCCTCGGGCAACTGCAGCGCGACGAGCGCGTTGAAGAGCGGAATCTCCATGGCCGCGGATTGGCTGACAACGGCCTCATCGCCGCCGATCGGTAAGAAAGCAACCCCTCCTGCAAGCATCCAGGCACAAATTGGAAGCATAGGGCACAGCAAAACCATGGCCAAGACAGCGCCAGTGCCGCCAACACTCCCCACGATGACAATGGCTGTCACCAAGACAAGCAGAGATGTGAACAGAGCAGCAAAATGCCACCGCAATCGTTCGCCCTCCAGTGGGTAAAACTTCCAGATCCGTTGGGTGTAAAACGTTGCTGTCCAGCCGATCGTGGCGCCGAAGGATAGAACGGCAAATATCCAAAGGAAGTTGCCGAGACGAGTGCAGCCGACCACCGCACAAGCTGGATTCCTTGGTAGCCCAGTAACCATATTATAGTAAGGGCACCCTTCTTTGACTAGGCTATTTTACAAAAGGAACGCATAACCAAAAGAAAGGGTAAAGGGTACCACTGGGCTGCCAAGAATCTCCAGCTTGTAGACGTCGTAGCGCTCACAATTGTTTAACTGATTCGCGACCCGGCAGTCGGAGTCGGACGCTTGGACCTCTGCATCTGCTTCGCACAGTGTGTTGACGCTCAAACTTGCCTGGCACAGCGGCAGGGCCAGTGTCTCCGTCATCGAAGGACACTCCCAGCTCCGCAAAGGCATCAAGATGCGTGGCGCACCACATGGCACCGAAAAACTCATGAGAGTGTGGCGCTGGTGGGCTTCCAAGGCGTAGATCATCGTGGAGATGAGATTGCCCGACTCCAGCAACATGCTGATTGCCAGCATCCGAGAAGACCTTTTCATTCTCCGGGACAGTGGCATGGATTCAATGTATTCCGATGAAACTGGATCTGGTCGCCTTGCTCTTGCTGGCTCTACCTGTGGCGTCACATCCGACGCCGTCGGATCTGACGCAGATGTATCTGCGCCAGCTGCCAGTGGAAGCGGTGCATGCTCAGCATCTCTTTGTTCCTGTGGAACTCCAAGGGATTGAGCTCCCTCTGCAGCTTGACGATTTGGGGAATCTGTGCTGGTCAGCAGCTTGATCATCAGAAGGATCGCCAGCAAAACCACCAAGTAGCCACCGAGCACAGCTAGCGACCAAACTCCTACGTCCACGAAGCCAAACTGAGCCACTTCCAGCTCAGACGGAGCCTCCGTGCGAGTGGTACTAGTCCAGGTGGTAGTGGAAGTTGTCGAGGTGACGCTGGTGGTGCTGCTGCTGGACGACGTTCTTGTCCGGGTGTAGGTGGTCGTGGTGGTGGAAATGGTCAACGTTCTTGTGCTGGTAGTGATGGTGGAAATGGTCAACGTTCTTGTGGGGGTGTAGGTGGTAGTGGTGGTGGATGAGCGGAGTTCGTAAATGGCCGAGGATGCATAGTAACTAGCAACCGCCATGTGACACAGCCCTTCGATAAAAAAAACTGACAAATCTATTGCAGAACTGGTTGGGAGACTCTGGAATTCCTTGAAGAATCCACTCGCGCCATCCCACGTGTAGACTACGGAATTGGCATTGAAATTGGCAACTACCAAATATTGCACGCCATCGCTGGCGAAAGCAGACCAACGCATTTGCTCTACTGGTCGGGATGCTTTGCAACTCCAAGAAAGAGACTGTGCTATTCCCTTGGTAAATCTTGGAGACCTGGCTAGAACTGGCCATTGCCAAATACTGAACACCATCAATGGTGAAGGCCGACCAACTGTTTGCTCCGCTGGCTGCGAGATGTTGGAATTCCACGAAGGAGCCCCCAACCCCCGCACCTGCCTCCCACTTGTAGATCTTGGAGTCCGTGTTGCACGAATGCCCTCCAGTTATTTGGACATTGGCAACCACAAGGTGCTGAATCCCATCCATATTGAAGGCCTCAATGCTCCTCGCACAACTGGTCGTGAGACTTTGGAATTCCACGAAGGTGCCGTTTGCGCCATCCCAGCGGTAGATCTTGGAGTCCTCATGGGAATTGGCAACGGCCAAGTGCTGCACACCATCAAGGGTGAAGGCGCACCAACTCCACCCTCCCCAGGTTGGGATCCGTTGGAATTCCACGAAGGATCCACTAGCACTCTCCCATTGGTAAAATGTAGAGTGGACGTTGTACGAAGTACCATCGTAAGGGGTGGCAGTTACGAGCATCTGTGTGCCATTCATATCGAAGAGCTCCAACCCTCCACCTCCGTCGTTGACTAGGCTTTGGACTTCCTCAAAGGAGCTGCTAGTGCCACTCCACCTAAAGATTTTGCCGTTGGAGCCTGTGGGTGAGGTAAGTGCAATGTGCGTTGCTCCGTCAATGACGAAGGAGCCCACCTCATGTGCGGACGCCAATGTGGCCTCCACCACCTCCACAAACCCGTAGGCTTGACACGTTGTAATCATATGGGCCAAGAAAATCATAGAGTGGCGCCACCTGTTTGACATAATGGCACATTGCCTGGCCATGGCTGGCAAGGGCTACAGATGAAATAAAAAATCGCACGGTGACAAGACTATCACCAGGACCATACTGCAAGCCTACGCACGTGCCAACCAAAATGACATGCATCACCATGCACCTTCTCTTTGTTGCTGAGTTCAGAAGCCCCATAAACGTGTAAACTTTCAGTTCCATAGGGGGATCATCGTGTCTTAAAAGGTGTAACGTGTGCTCACCCAGCTACTAAGTTCTTATGATGAAAGTGATCCAAACTGTTGTCGAAGCTGGGGCTTGAGCCGCTACAGTTGGTTTCGGCATGCACGCTCAGGACGGCCCCCTAAACCCTAAACCCTAAACCCTAAACCCTAAACCCTAAACCCTAAACCCTAAACCCTAAACCCTAAACCCTAAACCCTAAACCCTAACCCTAAACCCACATGCATTGCCATATTGATGGCCACCAAAAGCTTCCCATACTGCACCACCACGATTACTACCACCACAACCATGACCACAACAACATCGGCAGCATCGACCACAGCTACGTGGCTGCAACTACAGGTGACTCCGGGCCTTTCTGGACGGCTCCTCGCATACTCCGGAGCAGTTCGCTCAGGAGCCTCCTTAGCTGCGTTGCGTGCCAGTTTCCGGGAACTTGGACAGCTCTTTACACCCTAAACGAAAAAACCCTAAACCCTAACTTGGATCCAGTCTCTTCGCAATCTCCGGCGTCAGCTCGACGGCGAAGCTGTCGGGTGGAGCTTCGCTGGCCGGCGCCATGTCGACGCGGGAGGAAACCGTGCAGCCCGGGTTCGGGTTTGTGGGGTTTAGGGTTTAGGGGGTAGGGTTGAGGGTTTAGGGTTCAGGGTTTAGGCTTAGGGTTTAGGGTGATATAGGGTTTAGGTAACCCTGAACCCTCAAACCCTAAAACCCTAAACCCTGAAACCCTAATACCCCTAAACCCTAAAACCCCTAAACCCTAAACACTGCTGTCGGGTCTTAAGTCTTCGGCTTGAATGATGAAAGCTTAGGTCTTTGGTGTTCGGTGCTTCGCTCTGCGGAGACCTGGGGGCCCAGCATGAGGTTTAGGGTTTAGGGTTTAGGGTTTAGGGTTTAGGGCTTAGGGCTTAGGGCTTAGGGCTTAGGGCTTAGGGGTGAATGAGAGTGTGTAGGATTCAGGTCTGGGAAAGTTTCGAGGAGTTTCAAGGAAAGCTTCAAGGAAAGTTCCGAGGAAAGATTCGGGGAGCTTCCTTTCTTAGTTTTTGAAGAATTTCAAGCTACAGGGGGCTTGAGGGTTTAGGGCTTCGGGCTTAGGGCTTAGGGTTTAGGGGTTCGTCTCACATCACGGCGCTGATGCCTCAGACCTTGTGGCTCATGAGCCTCCATGTCCTTCAACTTTAGCCCCAGAACTCCCTCAACCCTAAACCCTAAACCCTAAACCCTAAACCCTAAACCCTAAACCCTAAACCCTAACCCTAAACCCAGAACCCGAGGCTGGGCAACCCGACGCCCTCCCCGAACCCTACCCCACCTCTACGCTCAATCCGACTCAATTCCCATACTCGACACGAGGGTTTGCCGAAGCCCCAAAATCAAAAACAAAACTGAACCCTCCATGACCCTGAACCCTAAACCCTAAACCAACAAAAAACCTAAACCCTACACAACCCTGAACATCCCCTCCGGAGCCTCCCCGTTACGGAGAACCCTGAATCCTAGACCCGAAGCCCTAAGCCCTAAGCCCTAAATCCTAAACCCTAAACCTGAAGGGGGCCTCCCCCTTGCGGAGAATGGCCACGTCCATGCGGGCGGAGGTCGCAAACTTGGCGAGTCGCTGGCGCTGGCGGATGGCCTTTCGGCATTCTTCTTGCGGGAGCTTAGGGTTTAGGGGTTTAGGGTTTAGGGTTTAGGGAGTTCAGGGTTTCGGGAGTTTAGGGTCTAGGGAGCTTAGGGTTTACTTGGAGGTTCATGGGTAGCGATAAGTAGGGTCATAAGTACCCCCAAGCAGGGTTACAACTTTTGTTACCAGGCTTATCACCCTACTCATAGCTACCCATGAACGCCCAAGCAGCACTTTAGGGATTAGGGTTTCGGGCTCGAGAGGCTTTGGAGTTTTAGGGTGATGTGTGGAAAGGGCCGTCAGAGGGTTAGGGATGATTGCGATCTACACGGCTTGAGGGTAAATGCATTAGGATCATCCCTGTGGCTATATATATATATATGCATTAAAAAAAGGAGTGAAAGACATGAATCAAAGAGCCTGCACATGAATGAAGAGGAGAACGAACAAAGCCCCTATGTTAATACTTTTGGGCTTTGCGTTGGGAACCGCGCATCTTCATGAAGCCAACATACAACAAGCCTTCAAACACTCCCTCAACCTGCAACCTCCCTAAACCATCCCAAATCCCTAAACCCAAAACCCTAAAGCCTAAACCCTAAACCCCAACCAACCCCAAAACCCTGAGGTTTCCCAAACTCCAAACCCCCTAACCCCAAGAGTAAACGTCTCTGCTGCCCCAAGACACTTGGGCCAAAGACCAAGGGTTTTGGTATTTGTTGTTTATGTGTTCTTGGTGGTTTTGGTGGTTTGTTTTTGTGTTTCTGGTTTTTTGGCGTTGTTTTGGGGGGGGGGTTATTTTGGGCGGTTGTTTTTTGGGTTTTGGGGGTTCTTTGTGGGTTTTTTGGGCTTTTTCTTGGGTTTCGACGTTCGGGCCTCACGAACCTGCTCGTGGCTGTGTACACGCTGATCCAGAGGCGCGAAAACCTAGCAGACAAAGACATCTTCAGGCGAATCAGGTTTAGGATTTAGGATGAGGGTTCAGCGGGTGGAGTTACCCCAATAAGACTTTTGTTGAAAATGTTTAGAGGGGTTCCATATGATCGCATACTCCCATCGAAGCCTTTCACAAACAAGACCTGCAAGACCCTCAAGACAACTTGATATACACATCTGAGAAGGGAAACTTAAACCTGAAACCCTAAGACCCAAAAGCCCTAAGCCTCTTGGGGAAGATAAACCCTAAACCCTAAACCCTAAACCCTAAACCCTAAACCCTAAACCCTAAACCCTAAACCCTAAGCCCTAAAAGCCCTAAGCCTCTTGGGGAAGATCGAGCCCTCAGCCTCATGCTTTAACTCTCATGAGGGAACTTTTCCTGAAACAAGGTTTGGGGTTCGGGTGGGCCTTAAGGTCCCTGCAAGAGTACCTTTCAAAGAAACCATCTAAGAAATATTCAGCGTACCCCCTTAGCATACCCATACAAGAAATTGAGGGGCGTGGCAAAATCCTTCCCTCTACTCTCCTTGTATAGATTAAGGGGTATCGGTTTTGGGCTTAGGATTTAGGGTTTAGGGTTTTGGGGGGTTTGGAGTATGCTGAGATATCCTTAGAAACCATGAAGACAGGGCTGCCTCAAAGGGGACTGCACATTAAGCTCACGGGGTCCGGTCTGGGGGTTTCAGGCTGAGACCATGCGATTTGAGGCGTTGGGTTTGAAAGGACGACCCCAAACCCGAAACCCTAAACCCTGAACCCTGAATCCCTAAACCCTAAACCCTAACTAAACCCCAAACCTAAACACTAAACCCTAAACCCCAAACCCTAAACCCTAAACCTTAAACTCGGTGAGGGAAGTGAGGGGCGGCTTCGCGCCTCCGCCGAAAGTCGGGCAAGGCAGCGCTCACGCGCCTCTTAGAGGTTTGGGATTTAGGGATGGGGAGTTTAGGGTTTTCAAGGGTCAAGGGTTTAGGGTTTAGGGGTTCAGGGTTTAGGAGTAAGGGCTTGGGGACCCAAGCTTTGGGGAACCGAAATGTCTTGGGAACCCAAATTTTGCAGAACCCATTTCCAGTAACCCAAGTTGTGGGTCACACAAGTTTTGGGGAATTTAGTGTTTGGGGTTCCGGTTTGAGGTGCCTAAGTTCTGGGGTCACGTTTGGGGTTCAGCGTAGGCCTTCAGGGTGTATGGTCTCCCTCGGTTCGAAGGATTCGAAGGAGACCCATTTTGGCATGGTGTCACAGGATTGAACCATTTGGGTTAAACTTACCTGCTCAATCTCCTTATTCTCTTGCTTTTCGTGATCATGACCCGAAATGCTTCCAGCACAAGCAGGTCCGCCCTATGGCTTGCAATCGACATCGATCCGCAAGTGTCGCACACGCGGCGCGAAGGACTTAATGCGCTGAATGCCACTGACAGTAGCTTGCCATGTTGGCCCTCGAATCCTTAGTTGCTGAGTTCATAAGCCCCCAAAAAGTGTACACTTTCAGTTCTGTCGGGGAGTTTAGTCTCCCAAAAAGTGTAAAGTGTACTCATTCAGCTACTAAGAATCTTGCACAGCTGCTCCTGCACCTCTTTCGCCACCAGCTCTGCCTCGGCCGACTCCGCGTCAACGGCCGCGTTCCAGTGCACGTGCAGCGTGCCACCCGCCGGCCGCAGAGCAGCCACGGCAACAGGAAAACCGTCGCGGCTGTACCTAGGATGGCCCTGAAATTAAAACCCTCTGACAAATATTCCTGAATTATGATCCCTCTTAAACCCAATATACAGAAAAGGTATACACAAAAAACACTCCTGAATTATGATCCCTCTTAAACCCAATAAGGGAAGATGTAAACTGTCCCAAAAAACCTACAGGTACGGAATCAGGCCAAGGATGACGCGGTGGCATCTGTTGGACGTCTCTTCAAGGACCTCCGGTCGTCGGTTGTCTCCTGGCAGCACCTTGCAACGTGCGGACAGCGGCTCCCCAAGCAAGCGCAGCCCCTCACGCAGGCCCGCCAGGGCATCCGGATTCCACTCGCAGGCAATGACATATGCTGCCCCAGCCGCGAGAAGCGGGAGCGTCCAGAAACCTATACCGGCGTACATGTCGAGGATTGTCTCGCCCTCTACTTTCCACGATGCCACGCGGTTCTTCTCCGCGGCATTGCCTTCTGAGAACATGCACTTCGTGACGTCGAAGGCATAGCGCACGCTCTTGGGACCAGGCACCACCACCCAGCCAGAACCGCTGCCAGCCAGAATCTGCACGTTGCCTCCACGCACGGGGTCATCCACAAGAATTTCCTCCTGTCGGCACAGCAGCCGGGCATGCACAGCTGTCCTGATGCACTCCCAGAGGCCTCCCTGAACTTCGCGTGCTTCGCGCTCCAACGTCCCCCAGTCTGTGCCGGCAAAGCTGCCACGTGGAAGGAGCGCCACATCGCCGCGCCATTGCAGTACGGGCAAGTGCTCAACATCCCTAAGGAGATGACGAATTTGTTCAAAGCATGCTTGGCGACTTTGGTCTGCAGCCACCTCTCGCATCAGGCCCTGAATGGCCTCGGAGATCTTGTCTCGTTCTGTGAGGGCTGCATGGGTGCCACCGGTGGGTTTCGACTTCTTGGGCAACTCGGCGCTCTGCAGGATGTGCAGATCTCCGCGCCGCTGCCTCCAAAGCTCATGCAAATTGGCCGCGACCGTGGGAGGGCGCTTCTTTTTCGGTGGAACTCCGCACTCCAAAGCAGTGCCGGTGGCTATTTCCACGGTCTCCGTCTCGGACGCCATTGCCGGTGCACTCGAGGGGCGGGCCTCCTCCTCCTCCTCTGCCTCAGCCGCATCTTGCGAGATAGCCTGCAAAGCATCCACCGCCTCCTCCATCAGTGGGATGGCAATGGACGGGCTCACTTCTGCAGACTCAGAGCTGCTGTAGCTCTGCATCTTGCGAGATTCGTCCAACCAGCCCCGCGCCTCCAGTGCCAACTTGATGGACCTCGCGCAGGCCTGCGGGCACACGAGGATCCAAGGCTCTCCGCTGGAGGAGCTCGCCGAGGGCCTCACCGCCAAGGCCTGCTTCAAGTTGCTCCACAAGCGCGCCACCCGCGCGGCATTCTCGCTGAGTCGGCTGTTGGCGATTTGCAGCAAGGCTTCGAAATACGTCGCATTCACCAGGATTTGTCCATCCATCGCAAGCGGCACTTCCAGGCGCATGGCCACCGTGCGAATTTGCACCATGACGCGCTTCCGGCCCAAACTCACTCCGCTCTCGCGAAAGCCTGCGTCTCGTGCCACTCCCAGGATATGCTGAGCCAGGGCCGCATCGGCGCATTCCGCATGAAGAACAAAAGGCTCCAGCAGCAGCGAGGTCAGCATCCCTGCGTTTGTAGCCTGCCGCCTTTCCAATGCTGCGCACAGCTCCCGCCACGTCTCCGCGCTGCTCGGCAAGGTCTCATGACTCGCCAGCAGCCACTCCCCGCCCTTGGAGTTGGAGGGATCGGCGGAGCCATGGAAAATTGCGATGCGGCCGCTGCCTAGGATGCCCCTTCAAACCCTCTGATAAAACTATTCCTGAATTCTGATCCTCTTAAACCCAAGAAGGGAAAATATCTATTCCTGAATTCTGATCCTCTTGAACCCAATAAGGGGAAAGTACCTAAAAATGTCCCCCCAAGGGCCAAAGCCCTGCCTAGCTGCAGGATGAAGTAGTCACCAGATCCGCCTGCTGGTTCAGCCACTCCATGAACTCCACGATGGGCGCGTCGATGGATCCCTTGGGGCTCCGGTCCAGGGACGCGAGGATCTGGCGCTTCCGCGCACAGAACTCGGCGTGGGTTGCCATGGCTCTCCCAAGAGATCGACACGCACACAAAAGGCCCAAAGGACCGCTTGGGGAGGGGAAAAGATACTCTGAACCCTTGTTCTGCTTAGGCAGCAATGTGGGGGGGGGGGGGGTGTACGAAACAATCAGGGAGCCCTAGAAAAGACCCCCCCAAATAGTAGGATTCCCTTACAAAACGGAACCCCAATGAGGTACACCAAATCTCGGAACCCCCATGTGCAAGAAGACGGGAGCAAGAACTGCTTCAGCTTAGAGTTTTTTCACATCTCAAGGTCGGGAGGAAAACACCGCCTGGCGAAGCCGAGTCGGGCCAAGAGGCGTTGCAATGCGCTTCAAGCCCTAAAAACTTAGCCCCAAACCCTAAACCCTGAGCCCTGAACACTAAACCCTAAACCCTAAACCCTGAACCCTGAGCCCCAGAAGCTGCAGTTGTTGGGCAAGGGAGAACGTCAATCTACAGTCTACGGCTTTTGCATCCTTATGCTCAGAACTCCCCAGATGTCTGGCTTCAGAGGGTAGAGGGTTTAGGGTTTAGGATTAGGTTTAGGGTTTAGGATTAGGGTTTAGGGTTTATGGTTAGGGTTCAGGGTGTAGGGTTGGGATTTAGGGTTGAGGGGTTTGGGGTTTCGGGTTTAGGGTTTGGGGCGTAGGGTTGAAAGTCTCAAGGGTCCAGCCCACCTCGCTGATGGCCTTCTCCGCCTCGCGGAGATCCGCCGCGATCTGCGCAGAGTGGAGCGCTTGGAGGTTCATGGCACGGGTTTAGGGTTTAGGGTTTAGGGTTTAGGGTTTAGGGTTTAGGGTTTAGGGTTTAGGGTTTAGGGTTTAGGGTTTAAGGTTTAGGGTTTAGGGTTTAGGGTTTAGGGTTTAGGGTTTAGGGTTTAGGGTTTAGTTTAGGGTTTAGGGTTTAGGGTTTAGGGAGGGGGGGGGGGGGGGGTTGGGGGGGCGGCGGGGTTGAGTGTTTAATGTGTCCAAATAATGGATGTAAGAATACAGACATCATGTGTGTAAAAGATGCTGATATATGTGAAGATATGATAAACTGTACTGGATTAACTTGTCAAAAATATAACATAATTGATATGAATACATGAATCATAAAAACTTGTTGTCGTCCATTGTCTAATATTTCATAAAGTTCTACTTTTGCTTGGAATAAAACTGTTTCAATTTGTATACGTGTCCAACCATATCTCATATACCAGCATAATGAAAGGGTGTTTTTTGTTTGCATCTATTGAAAAATTGTATCCTTAACCGAAACATGATGTGCGCAAAAACTTGACGTTAACTTGTCGAGAAAAGCGATGCTGCGGAAACAACACACACATGTGTGTGCGTCGCAGAGAGCAAGGAACCCTGGCTCAGCCAGCACTTTCGCAGACAGGAAAACACAATGCTGCTGGGAAACACACACACACACACACACATGCGTGTTGCAGAATCTACAGAACCGAAAATGCAAATCCTGCTGAGCAAGAAACATACACACACACACGTCTGTGTGTGTGTGTGTTGCAGAACGCAGGAAACCGTCGCTCAGCGAACAGTTTACAACAGAAACTTGAAGTTCGCTGGGTGTCGAAAACACAAGCGACGATGGGACAACACACATGTGTGTTGCAGAAAGTCAAGAAGCTTTACGTTGAGGTGTTGGAAGAAGAAATGCTGCGGAAAAAACACACATGCGTGTTGCAGAAAGCAACGAACCCTCGCTCAGCCAAGCATTTTCGCACAGAAAGCTGACGTTACGCCGCCGAAAATACAAATGCTGCTGGGAAAACTCGCATGTGTGTGTGTGTGTGTTGCAGAAGGCAAGGAACCTTCGCTGAGTCTAGCATGCCCTTACAGAAGCTTGATGTTAAGGCGTCGAAAGAAGAAATGCTGGGAAAGCCACACACACACACACGTGTGTTGCGGAACGCAAGGAACCCTCACTCAGTCTTGCATTTTCACACAAAAACTTGTCGTCGAAAATCAGATGCTGTGTCCTTCCTTGATGTCACGTGACAGTGTACTGCCGGCCATCAGCAAATGCCCCGAAATCCTCTCAGTTGTCATCGACAACGAAGAGGACCTTTGCGCGGGCCAACGCAGCTGCGGTGACCAAGAACCTGGACATGCTGCGCACGCCACGTGAGCCCAACACTGCAGCACAGCATGCTCCAGGCATTTGGCGACATAGGGCCGGTATCCCGCGAACATGGGGTCCTCATCACGTGGAGTTGGCATTTCAGGCGTCGAAAACTCAAAGGTTGCTGGGGGGACACATGGATGCATTTCTAAAAATGGAAGCCTGGCGCAGCATAGCACTTTCATTCAGAAACTTGACCTGCAGGCGAGATCAATTGCTGCTGGGAGAACACACATGCATGTTGCAGGACGCAGTGTACCTTGGCTCAGCCTAGCATTCTTGTACACGGGCTTGATGTTAAGGTGTCGAAAATCAGATGCTGTGTTCTTCCTTGATGTCACGTGACAGTGTACTGCCGGCCATCAGCAATGCCCCGAAATCCTCTCAGTTGTCATCGACAACGAAAAGGACCTTTACGCGGGCCAATCACCAGGATCCCGATGTCAGAGGCGCTGCTCTGGCATGTTCACGCCCCGACCATTTACACCGTGGGACGCAGGCTCTAACTCATAAATCCGTCTAGGTCCAATTTTTGCCCAGGCCGCGCGCTCGCTAGAGGCTGTATTTGTCCGAATGTAAAGTTGATGAAGGCTTTGCGTAAATGATTTAGCATGGACGACGTAAGATTTACGGCTAGTCAGTGAGAATGACTCGATGCCACAACAATTGTTTACTATGTGAATAATATGTCGGCATGAGCTCCATTGTCTGATTTTGAGACTAAACATGCACCACACAAATGGCTTGAGGATCAAGGCTTAGCGCTAAACATTCCACGAAAAAGTTTCAATAACAAGGTTTGGCGATTAAGGTTTCGGCTATGAACAACAAGGTTTAACACTACACCCGAAACGACTTGAGGATTGGGAATCAGGTTTTGCGATTATGCTTTAGGAGAATAAAGCGTAGCGATCCTCCTGAAAAAGGGGGGCTGCACGCCAAAAGCGGCAAAATACAACCACTCACCAAAACCATAAGACTAAAAAACAAATGTAAAATATATATTTATACATATACACACATATATATATAATATAATTGTTTATAGATATATATATATAAACACACACACACACACACACATGCGAATCCACACCCTAAACCCGAGATCCGAGACCCGAAACCCCAGCCAGTACAACCGGTTCTGGCGGAAACCTTCCCGAACTGTGAGCCCCTAAACCCGACGCTAAACCCGAAACCCGATGCCGCCTGGAAGACTGTCCCAAGAAGCCTTGCATTGGGAACTAAGGCTCCCCGTTTTAAAGAATACTCCCAAAAACATGGGGGTCAACCCTCGACCCTCAACCATCTCAACCCTGAAGCCCGTAAAAACACAAAATATAATTTATAAATTTAAAAACAATGAAACATACTAATAGTAATAATAATCATCATCATCATAGTAATAATCATCATCATCATAATCATAATCATAATATTAAACTCAACCCCCCCCCCCCCCCCCCCCCCCACAACCCCACACCACCTAAACTCCAACCGTAACCTCTCCCCTCCCCCACCCCAAAACAACAACAAAAAAAAAGTCTCCTAATCCACCGAGTCTAACCCTGAGCCCAAAACGAATACCTGAACCCGCCAAAGCACCCCCCCAAATCCGAAACCCTAACCTAAAACCCTGGACCCTAAACCCCAAACCCGAAGCGCCAGCCCGCAGCCTCCAATCCGACTGCCGAGTCATCGCCCAGTTCGCAATCACTTAGCAACCTGGGAACCCCCCAAAGTGTTGGGCTTCGGGTTTAGGGTTTAGGGTTTAGGGTTTAGGGTTTAGGGTTCAGGGCTCAGAATCGACCCTGAATTCCCAACAGGGGCCCCTGTATGGCTACGACGCGCCTCAAAGGGGGTCTTGCTTGGGCTTTCTGGACCCCGCGCGTGCGACTGAAGCTTTCGGGAGGTGCATTGGGGGTTTAGGGTTTGGGTTTCAGGGTTTAGGTTAGGCTTTAGGCTTTAGGGTTTAGGGTTTAGGGTTTAGGGTTTAGGGTTCAGGGTTTAGGGTATATAAAGGTTTTAGGGTTTCGGGTTTTGGAAATAAGGGTTTGGGGCTTTAGGGGGGTTTAGGGTTTAGGGCTTTTAGGCTTTAGGGTGTAGAGTGAGGGATTAGAGGTTGAAGGTCTAAGGTCTGGGGGCCTTCTAACGGTTTCAGGTTTAGGGCTGTAGGGGCTTCAAGAGGATTAGGGTTCAAGTCTTCAGGGTGTCCGGTCGCAGGGCTTCAGGGCTTTCGGGGTCGCGGGTTGCAGGTCTTCAGGGCTTGGCGGTGCTAGTATGCATCAGCGGTAGTCCATTCGTGTAGGGGTTAAGGGGTAAGGGCTTCAAATTCCTGGAGTTGAGGCCCCACCTACTTTTTTGTATGCCCTGCAGCTGCGTTCGGCCTTAGGGTGTACGGTTCAGGGCCTAGGCTTACGGTTGCCTCTTGTGCGGACGTCCCCGAGTCAGTCCCTCGCAGTTCGCCAGAATGTGCAGTCGCAGTCCTCCGATTCTACGGAGGATCCCAATGGAGGCAAGGGGGGTGCCCCGGCTGCAAGACATGCTGGACGTCAAGATGGCTCTGCACCGATGTGCTGTCGCCCCCGTGGTTCCTTGGCTTCGGATCTCAGAAAAGAGGGCGAAAAAAAATCGGAGCAGCGACGTGGGCTCGAGGCTTTTCAGCCGTTGCCCTATGAACAACCAAACAAAGAAACAAAATAACAAGAAAAGAGGAACGATGATGACGAAGACAGCCCAAGGGTCCTGTGACCCCAGGTTACTACGGAACCATCACCACAGATGGCCGCAAACGCTCCGCACGAGGCTTGGATTTGCAGCACATTCCGAAGCCTCTCCTGCACCCTGCTGCTGTCACCACCGTAGCCAGCCTGTCCCCAGGTCACCACGGATCCATCCTCGGCTGCACTTAGTAGGGTAGCCCTAAACCCTAAAGACCCTAAACCCAAAAACCCAAAAACCCCAAAAAGGCTAAGGATCTAATTAGCTACAGTAAAGTACCACAAAGCATCCCAGAGGATGGCTGCAAACGCCCAGTCCGTCGCCTGGATCTGCCGCACGTTGACCAGGCGCTCCTGGACAGCGCTGCTGTCTCCATAGCCGGGCGAGCCCCACGTCACGACGGAGCCATCGGAAAGGATGGCGGCAAAGGCGTTGGTTGAAGACTGCACCTGCTCCACGCCACGAAGCCGGGGCTGGACGGAGCTGCTGTCTCCCCCGTAGCTCGCGACGCCCCAGGTCACCACGGCGCCACCCCGGAGAATGGCAGCAAAGGCTCCAAAGGAAGCCTGGATTTCCTGCACATCCCTGAGCTGATGTTGAACATGACTGCTGTCACCGCCATAGCTGTCGTCTCCCCACGTCACCACGGATCCGTCATCAAGGATGGCAGCAAAGGCACCGTGCGAAGACTGGACACATGTGACATTCTTGAGCCGATCCTTTACAGAGCTGCTGTCGCCACCATACTCGGGCTTGCCCCACGTCACGACGGATCCACCATCCAGAATGGCGGCAAATGCTCCTGGGCACCACGAGAAATGCGGGGCGGCGTGCAGGTACCTACAGACCCCCGGAAGCATCGCAGGCCTGTTGTACCTCTGAATCCTGCACCACCCCGGCCACAAGCCGTAAACCCCAAACCCGAAAAGCGCTTTAAACCCTGAAGCCCCAGCAGCCATCAAAACCCAAAATCCAGAAATTTCCGAAAGCCCGAAACCCCCAAAAATCCTCAGCAGGATTTCGGATTTAAGGGTTTAGGGTTTAGGGTTTAGGGTTTAGGGTTTAGGGTTTAGGGTTTAGGGTTTAGGGTTTAGGGTTTAGGGTTCAGGGTTTAGCGGGTTTCAGGGCCCTTAACACACCCCAAACAGTAGGCCAGGCTCCATGTGAGGACTGCACCTGCCGAACCTCCCTCAGACAATGCTGCACGGACCGGCTGTCGCCACCAGACTCCGGAGTGCCCCACGTCCTGGGCTTTTGGGACGCGTCGGCAAGGTTTAGGGGTTTTAGGGTTTAGGGTTTGGGGTTTAGGGTTTAGGGTTTAGGGTCTAGGGTTTAGGGTTTAGGATTTAGGGTTTAGGATTTAGGGTTTAGGGTTTAGGGTTTAGGGTTTAGGGTTTAGGGTCGGGTCCTAAACCTCAAGCCACGTGGAACCCTAAACCCTCAACCCTAAACCCTCAATGACGTGTGGCTTCAGGATCTTTAGGGCATAGGGCTTAGCGTTTACGGACTCTAAACCCTAACCCTATAAACCCTAAACCCTAAACACTGAACCCTAAACCCTAAACCCTAACCCTAAACCCTAAACCCTAAACCCTGAACCCTGGCTGAGGGAGCGAGATTCACCACAGAGCCGTCATCAAGGATGGCTGCAAAAGCGCCTGAGTCCGTCGCCTGGATCTGCTGCACCTTGAAGTTTGGGTTTAGGGTTTAGGGTTTAGGGTTTAGGGTTTTGGGTTTTGGGTTTTAGGTTTAGGGTTTAGGGTTTTGGGTTTAGGGTTTAGGGTTTAGGGTTTAGGGTTTAGGGTTTAGGGTTTAGGGTTTAGGGTTTAGATCCCTTATACAAACCTAACTCAGCTAAAAGGGCTGATTTTCTTCTCCTGGCTTGCTGGGATTTGTAGCCTACAAGTCCAACCCTTCAGCCCGAAAACTCTCGAACTCAGAGGTCCGGGTACGTCCTAGCATCACTGTAAGCCGAGTACTAAGCCCTACCAGCCCAATATACGCCCTCAGAAGCCTAATGCCAAGATCTAAACCCTAAGCCCTAAACCCTAAACCCTCTGCCCTACTTTCTCCTGCCCTCCCAAGGACCGAGTTGAAGAAGTTGGTGCGTAAGGAGCTGGGTCCGACCCGAACAGACTTGGGGCTCTAGGGATTACATGGGTTTAGGGTTTAGGGCTAGGCGGGGCCATAGCAGACCCACGCTTTTTCGGCAGTTTAGCTCTGTTGCCCTCAGAATCCCCTGTAAATACCGATGTTTCCTGGGTTTCGCCCATCACCTCATCCCCGCAATTTTTCTCCAAAATTATCCTGCATGTTTTTTGGCATCCGTAGACTACACTGGTATTTGTGGGTTTTTTGCGCTACTTCGCACATTCGAGGTGTCCTAAACTAAGCCCTGTCTTGCTTGCATCCGCTTCTGCCCAGCCCTGGGTCTAAATAACACGCTTGCTACACCATAGTTAGAAGAGAGCATCCATGGCCCAGCCATGATGACGTCCATAGTCTAATCCGTTCTGGGAAGAGAGCATCCATGGCCCAAGCATGATGACGTCCATGGTCTACTCTGTTCTGATGAGAAGAGAGCATCCATGGCCCAAACATGATGACGTCCATGGTCTACATGTTTTCTGCACTGCCATGGCCCAACCATGATGACGTCCATAGTCTACTCCGTTCTGGGAAGAGAGCATCCAGGGCCCAAGCATGATGACGTCCATGGTCTATTCTGCTCTGATGAGCAGACAGCATCCATGGCCCAAGCATGATGACGTCCATGGTCTACATCTTCTAATCCGTTCCGAGAAGGTTAAACCTTCTGGGCAGAAATAGCTGGAAGTTCTTGCGTTTAGGCGCACTGGGGAGAAGAAAGGCGTCATTTCTCAACACTAAAGGCTGTGACCTAAGTCCTGCATCTCAGGTGGGCCACAGTTTTGCGCGGGTCTGTTGTGGACCCGCCAGGGTTTGGGGTTTGGGGTTTGGGGTTTGGGGTTTAGGGTTTAGGGTTTAGGGTTTAGGGTCTAGGGTTTAGGGTTTAGGGTTCGAGGGTCAAGAACACGGTTTTCCCTTCTAGTTCTGGCAAAAAATTCGTTGGCCCTAAACCCTAAACCATAATAAACAATGTACCCTAAACCATTCCTTGAAGGTCCGAATGGGGATGTTCCCCCTTATACTAACAGCCCTTAAGAGAGGTTATAGTACCCCTCTTTGACAATCCTTATTGAGGACTGCTAGTATAAGGGGGAACATCCCTAAACCCTAAGCCCTAAACCCTAAACCCTAAACCCTAAACCCTTAACGGCAAGCCAGGCACGCCTTTGAGCCGACTCGAGACGGCGGTGATGTCGCTGCTTGCGGGATCGCCCCACGTCACAACCTCGGCTGGCCCGGCAAAGCCGGCAGAATAAGGCTGTTAGGGTTTAGGGTTTAGGGCTTAGGGTTTAGGGTTTAGGGTGTAGGGTTTAGGTCTTCGGGCTTAGGGCGTCAAGGGAAAGATTCCCAACAACTTGCCGACCACGGTCCCCTTGAGCCACACAACGGACAAATGCCCAAAAACTCGTCCCAAGGGTCGACCGACCCTAAACCCTAAACCCTAAACCCTAAACCCTAAACCCTAAACCCTAAAGGTCCAAAACCACGTCCCGAGGGTCGGCCGGGGAACCGACCCATCACCCAGGATGGCGGCAAAGGACACGACCGAGGCCTGCAGCTGCCTAGGACGGCCCTGGGAACCCTCGGAAAAATAGGGTTTGGGGTTTAGGGTTTAGGGATTAGGGTTTTGGGTTTTGGGTTTGGAGGGTTTAGGGTTTAGGGCTTCCTGAAGATTATCCTTTGGGGAGGTTCCCCCATGTACTGACAGTCCTGAATAGGGATTCTAGCACCCCCTCCCAGAATCCCGATTAAGGACTGTTAGCATAAGGGGGAACATCCCCCAATTTTCCTCTCAAACCCAATAAGGAAAAACAAAACAAAAAAAAACAACAAAACAAAAAAACAAAAAAACAGAAACCATCCCAAGGGCTTCCCTGGTTGCCTTACATCCCTCAGCTGGTGCTGCACTGAGCTGCTGTCGCCGCCGCAGGCGGGATTGCCCCACGTCACCACCGAGCCGTCACGGAGGATGGCGGCAAACGCTCCGTTGGTCGAAGACTGGATGAGCTGCGCGTTTCGGAGCCTAGATACAGTATTCCCACCGTTCAGCGAACTTCCCCAAGCGACGACGGACGTGTCGCTGAGGATGGCGACGAAGGCGCTTTCAGCAGCGGCCACGCTAATTCCGTGGGAGTGCAGCGTCAAGACGTCTCCGGTCTTCACATTGGCCTGGCCCAATGTGGCTGTTGCCTGTAGCAGATCTCCAGATGCGTTCAACAGCACTCCCCTGCCCATGCGCAGCGCCACCTGCGCTTCCCGCCTCAGCTCCTCAACAGTGGAGTCTTCGCTGACCCTGATCTGTGCAGATTGCCCATTGATGCGGACCACCTCCACGTGGACGAACTCCATGCCACCCTGCCCCAACGCGTCGGCGAACCGATCTGAGCCGCCAGGCTGCCAAGATACCCTACAGCCTAAACCCCAAACCCTAAACCCTAAATCCTAAACCCTAAACCCTAAACCCCAAACCCTTGCAAAGCAAAAAACCGTACGCACACAGACCTCACACGCCCGCCCCAGAAAGAGCCAACCAAAGGGTCGAATCTTTCTTTTTGGGGTGCTCCAGGTGCTACAGCCCCCCATCAACCCTAAACCCTAAACCCTAAACCCCGAAGCCGCCCTAAGCCCCAACATCTCTACCTAAACCCAGAATTTTAGGGTTTGGAGTTTAGGCGTTAGGGGTTTCGGTTTAGGGGTTGAGGGGTTGATGAGTTAGGGTCTACAGGTTTAGTGGTTTAAGGGTTTAGGGGTTAAGGAAGCTTAGGGGGTTCACAGGGGTTTAGGGTTTAGGGTTTAGGGTTTAGGGTTTAGGGTTTAGGGTTTAGGGTTTAGGGTTTAGGGTTTAGGGTTTAGGGTTTAGGGTTTAGGGTTTAGGGTTTAGGGTTTAGGGTTTAGGGTTTAGGGGACTAGGACACTGACACCCCAACCTCGACCCTTAAACACACGAAGCGTACGGAACCCTGAATCCCAAAACCCTGAACCCCACGTAAATCCCGAACAACGCACACTCCCCACACAATCTTTGAACCCTAGGCTCTGAGAACCTCCTTCTTGCGCTCAACCCCTAACCCCAAAACTCCCGACGCCAAAAAACTTCCGAAATCACTCAACCCTCCTGAACCCTAAGCCGATTTCCATACTCCCCAGTTCCCCAAACCCTAAACCCTAACCCGAAAGCCTAAATAGTAGAGATATTTAGTATTTTCATGCGCCCATGCAATTTGGCAATAGAAATAGCGGACGCGTACCATACTATTATGAGTACGGCTCCACAAACGCGGAAAGCACCCGCCAAAACGTGCTTCGAGCAATACAAGAAGGGTGGTGCCACAGAGCCTTTGGCTGAATGGAACCACAAAATCTCCAGCACGCCTGAAGATCAGAAAGATTCCCCCTAAACCCTAAGCCCTAAAAACCCTAAAGACCCTAAAAACCCTAAAGTCCCTAAAAAAACCCTAAACACCCTAAGTCAGGAACCTCTTGCATCACTCCTCCGTGTATTTCTTCACAACCTCAGGGCTTTGGGCTTAGTGGGGTTTAGGGTTCAGGGTTCAGGGTTCAGGGTTTAGGGTTTAGGGTTTAGGGTTTAGGGTTTAGGGTATTTCTTCACAACCTCATCGAAATCCTCAGGAGTCCAGGCGGTCTTATCGTTGTTCTCGTTCCCCCACACCCAAAGTTGCGCGGGAAACCAGGAGAAGTTCTTCCCAGCCTCAGGGCTTTGGGCTTAGTGGGGTTTAGGGTTTAGGGTTTAGGGTTAGGGTTTAGGGTTTCGGGTTTCGGGTTTAGGGTTTAGGGTTTAGGGTTTAGGGTTTAGTGGCTCTTCCCGCCTCACTTTGGGAGTGGATCTTGAGGCAATG